TTTTGAGCAAGCCAAACTGATAGCATTCCACCTTTGTGATGCACTGAAAGCATATAGCAGAGTTAGACTCCAAGTCTATCCTGTCCCTTGCTAAGCTGGTTGTTGTTTAGTTTTGTTTTCCCAAGAATAATGTTCATTTTCTTGTGCTACTTCCCTCCCTGGATTAGGCCATTACTCTTTTCTTGTACTTGCTTCTACTTGGTGGTGCTACTACAGATTGTACCACCAACTTTCCTTAGCCATTTTGAGTACCCATGATCCAGCTTGACTTACAGAAGCCTCTGACTCCCTTTCTTCCTGCAAGCTTTACAAACTTTACTTGTAAGAATCATAGTTTATTTGTCTGGCTGTAACATGACACATTAAAAGTATCTTCTTTTAAAACACTACTAACTTCTGAAATCAGGATAACTCCAGGCATCATAGTTTGATGAAGAACAGGCAGTAAAAATACACTTGGTGGCCTGCCACCAGGGTGGTTGTCACCAATACTACAGCTTCAGAGCAAACAAGCCTTGCAACTAAGCATCTTCTAATGTCTGTGTTTGTCCTCCAAGGCAAAGATTCATCCAACACACCGAGTACTGTTCTTGTTAGCTCTGGAATGCTAACAGATTGCAGAAGATATTTCAGGAAAATGAGCAGAAATAGTCTTCAGGAAGCTGTCACAAAGTATTACAGAGCAATTTTTTGAACAAGGGACCTCTGGAGGTCTCCAATGCACCACTTGCCCCATCACATCTTTAAGCTCCATGCTTAAAGGAGTGCCAGCAGAATCAGGGTTCCTCAGCAGAGCAGGGAAGGTCCACAGTCAAGCATTCTGCTAGGGAATAAGGGAGCCCCTGTGGTCTCTGGCTAGTGGTATCTTTGGTGCTGTCTCTTTCCCTTCTGTTTCTCCACCACAAAGAATTGGAAGACATCCAAAAGAGTACTCCTCTCCTTTGTCTCCCAATTAAACAAGAGTCTTTATTCCATCCCTTTCCAGATGTACTGGGCTCTACCACCTTCTATATCTCTGTGGCAACTGCTGAACTTTTTCCATGGACTCAATGGCTGCCCAGTTCTGAGGAGGCAAAACTGGGCACCAGGCTCCAGATGCAGCCAGGCTCACTGGTGCTGATGCAAGGAGAAAGACACCTAAGTTTGGGATGATGTGGTACAGGAGCAAGTTCAGACAGCTGAGTCTTTTAGAGTAATCTGAAGCAGTAGTCTTGGTTCTCTCCGGAACCTGACAGAGGAATTCAGAAGTTTTTGTGCACAAGATACTGATTTTTCCAGGAGGAGACATCAAAGTGTGAGTGCCACAGAATAAGGTTTTTACAATAGTTCCTTAACACTGTGCCAGCCCTGCAGGGGAACTCTGCTTAAAACTGTCCTAAGAGATGCTGGACTAGATGTGTTCCATTCTACTGACTTGTACCTGATTTTCTTTGGCCTCATAAGAGGTAAAAATGTGACAAGTGTAAGCTTGCAATATATTTTATGCCATGGGACCCCTAAAATAATTGAACTTGTTAATGTCAGTTTTCATTTCTAGCGGATACTGGTGTGTGAAACAGCGATCCAGAGACTAGCATTATAAAATGAATACTGTCCCACTGCCTGTCTGCTCAGGGCAGAGAGTCTTCTTGCCCATGAGAAAACAGCTGAAAGACTCTCTAACTTTTACTTGGGATATCTACACACTCCATACTAATACTTAAACATTGATAAAATTATTTTATTTCAAATTTTTGTAAGTACCCTTCAGACAGTTCACAAAGACTTGTCTTTGTACAATGATCTAAATGCTATCCACTTCCATTAAAACAAATTATTTTCAGGACTAAAGAATGAATCTAAAATAGTCTCTGAAACTTCTTTCTCAAAAAGGCAGAATTCATTTTAGACACAAAAATCCATATAAATAATTTGAGGTTCTTTAAGTAAACTACTTAATTTGGAAATTGAATTCAAAACCAATCAGTTATTGTTACATTCTAAGTAGCTTGAGTAAGATCTAAATTTGAGAAACTAAAATCAATCACTTTAGTGGAGTAAATCCCATGGCTCAAACTCAGCTCTTCTGAATTTTAGATATAAAATGCTTAAAAACAACCCTAGAAGAGGAGAAAACAAGACCAGCTCTTTCCTTAGAGTGGCATGAGCTTATTGTTGCAAACCCACAGCGTCAGTTCTCATATGATGGGGAAGTGAGAAACCACATGTAATTACTGTCTGCAGTCTTGGAGCCACTAGCCGCCTTTAATTGCAGAGAGTGTGGAGACTGTCTAATATAAACTCTGTCTGCAATTAAATCCAGCTCACTCACATCTCACCTAGGCAACTGGCCCTTAGTAACCCTGCTGGAGCAGGGACATTGGATCAGACCAGGACCTCCAGAGATCCCTGCCACCCTCAGCTGTTTGTGGCCCTGTGATGCTGTGATCCCCACCACAGCAATAAAGAGGTGCTGTCAGCAGCACTCCCAAGACAGCCCTCCCTGCTGGACAGAGCAGCACCTCAGTCAAACCCCAGGACAGGAGGACTCAGCTCCTTCCTCCTGCTCTACACCACAGCCCAGCAAGACCCCTAACAGTTGCAATGGCAGGGGGAGGGCAAGAGGAAACATTTCCTGACAGGCTGGATTCACTTGGTAGGGGCTCACACTCTGGAGAGTGATGAAGTGGGGGGATTGAAGAAAGAGACAAAATAATAAAGAAAAAGAAGAAAGAAGAAAGAAGAAAAAGAAGAAAGAAGAAAGAAGAAAGAAGAAAGAAGAAAGAAGAAAGAAGAAAGAAGAAAGAAGAAAGAAGAAAGAAGAAAGAAGAAAGAAGAAAGAAGAAAGAAAGAAATGCTGAGGTGCTCACCTCAGCATGGAATGCCAAGCTGCAGAGCAGAGCTGTCGCACCAGAAACAAAGCTCCATGCATTCGCTGGCCAGACCTCTGGGATCAAAAGGACTCCAAGGTTAGAAACCCAGAAAACACAGACTTCCAGTTGAGACAGGGTAGAGGTTTCTTTCTAGTGACACAGGCCTCTTCTCTGGAGGCCAGTGCTGGTGGTGAGGGTAGCTTTACTTTGTTAAGGAAGAAGAAAAACTGCTTGGTGATGATGGGACCGTTTTTGAGGGACTCCCTATTTGCTGACCCTGCATGTGGAAGGAGCCTTTGGAGAGATCAGGCCACCATCTGGCCTCAATGAAATAACTATGATCAGTATATGGCACATATTGGTGAGAATGGGAGAAAATGGAGAAAATAGGAGTTCACAGGCTCACAGGCAGCATGATTCAAGGGTCAGCTGCACTCTGCTGGTGGGGTCATGGACAGGAGACACAAGTGCAGCCAGAGTGATAAATATGAGAAACACTCCCAAACACCACAAGCTTTAGGAGCCCTGGCTTTTGGAGTCCTGACTTGCCTTTGTAATAACATTTCCATGCTCCAAACATCCTCCCATACCCACCCACAGCAAACTGCCAGCAGGAAAAACAGGCTGCACATCAGAGGTAGAACATTCATTGGAACAGGAGGAGCTAACATGAGTTTATTTCCTATACCCTTTAAGACATTGTTAATCTGAACAAATACATTCCTGCTCTGAAGTTACCTTAAAGAGCAATTTTACAGATTATATGCAGAAATTACCTGGGCATGGCTCATCTAATTTATTACATTCTTTAATGTTCTTGCAACAAAAACAATCTTGTCATTCTCCTCTGTAGGAACCCAGTTCAAAAGAATGCTGAAAAAATAGCCTAACAAGTCATTCTTGCTGGACACAAGTTGAACAATCATAATTCAACAGCTGACTCATTAAACTGAAGTAAGAGACAAAATTCCTGAACAGGGAATGATTTAGAGATGTGGGTATGGCAACAACAAATTGTCAAATTTTATGCTCTGCAGAAGTCTGAGTAATAATATCCATAAGGGAAAACACACTGGACAATACAAATATTGCTGCAAATGGGCATTGGGGTTTCCTTACCCTACTACAGTCCAGATGTCTCTGCAATGAGAACTAGTTTTCATGGTATGTATGACTGCATGGATATGTAAAATTTTTACCAGAAAGACTTCCTGAGAATGGGTAAGTAAAATTCCAGACTTCTGGAATAATGTGGAAATCAAATGAGAGAGTCTAAAAGCTTGATGACCAGGAGACAATGATACAGTTCACATTTTATTTCTCTTAAATGTGTGATTTACCATCTGAGTAGCACTGGGGAAAATGGAAAGTGTAGGGATTATCTTTCCTTCATTACTGAATGTCTAGATCAGGTAGGTGTGGGGCAAACCACTAGACTACATGCTAGGCCAATCACTAGCAATATTTTGCTGTTACTGCATTATCTGAGAAAGGAAATTATAAACAACACCGGCATACCAGTTGTGCTATTTCTTGATAGTTGCGCTTTTCCCAATTTGCTCAATGCTTTATAATGACATTTCCCCACTTAGGCCAGGTCTATAAATTATCTTGTTAGAAGTCTTTTTAGGAAGATTTTGTGGAGATAGGTGCTTTGCTGTACAAAATGATTCATTACTATGCCAGGTGGTTTTTCTCCTGGTTTTAAATTCAAGCCAGGTTTTCTGCATGTTCGGCAGAGGGAGTGCAGCAGCAGATTTGGAAAACTTTTCTTCCTGTTTCTCAAGCAGTAACCCTGCAGCAGGCTAGAGGCCTTATTTAGTTTCCATCTGCCCGTGCAGACTTCTAAGAGATAGACCAGAATGATTTTTTTATTCCAGCAGAAATATTCTCTCTGGTTTAGATTGGGCTTTCATTGCGGCCTTTACACATGCTCAAGAGACATTGTGTCTGTGTAGATGGATACATGGACCCTAATGCTGCAAAGAGGGAGGCAACTTCACATCAGAACTCTCTATGGCTTAAGTACAATCAACAGACAAAATTGTTTTCATCTTGAAAATTTGGCACTTTCCACCAAATATTTTTTCCAGATATTTTACATTAGCAACGTATGACAAACATGCACTTGGACAATGGAATACTTACAATTTCATGCAAATTAGCTTTAGCTTAACAGTTGCCCTCCAATGTGTGTGGTATGGGTTTCATCATGTTGTTAATGAGATTAGTTAAATTGTATTTCTGATGTGCCTTTGAGCTACAGGTCAAAGGGGAATTGACTGCTGGTATGTGACTCTTATTCCACAGTTCTTCAACCATGTTTCCCAGACAGACCGTTCGTGTGTTTGACCCTGTGATTCACGACAATCCACAGCAGGAGGAGGCCTTCAAAAAAAAAAAAAAAAAGGCAAAAAAAAGATATTTCCAGAGACACAATGCAAAGTACAATATTAACTGACATTCTAAAAAAAAAAAAAAAAGGCAAAGCGTCACCAACATCATAGTGCATGAGAAGCTTTGGTTTGAGTGGTGTTTGCTGTTAGCCCACATGCATGTTCTCACCGAGAGGAAATCCATGTTATTATGATTTATCAGCCTTCCCCTATCAAACAGCCTTTATTATAACAAGTATCGCCGTTCAGTTTCTTCACTATTGACTTGAAGATAGTTACCCTAGTTTAAACACTGAAGATTATCCAGCATACTTACTGTTCAGTGATATAATTCTACTTAGTCTTCTATTTCCCTAATGGGTTAATATGTTGTCACTTGAAATGGTGCTACTTCACACCAGATTAAAGAACAGAACATGAACTATTTATATGGGACCTAAATACATGCTTTAAAAGCCCCCTAAGATCTTCAGTGATTGTTTCATTATAAAGTCTTTTATCTAAGTGAACCCAGATGCTGGACCTAAATAAAGGAAGCTTATTTGGACTTTTTACAATAGAATTAGCATAACATTGTCAACAATAGAGTTGACAGTTTGAGGCTGTCAACTCTGCTATAAGACAGTCAGAGGTCAAAAAGGAAAATTAGTTAAGTATGAATGTATGAATGCCATCAGATTTAAGAATGATCTCAATAAGTCTTATACAAAACACTTCCTCTTAGGAAAACGAAAATGTGGGAGGGAAGTTATATAGCTAAATTGCAGAGAGATGGCTTTTTGCTTTCTCAAAGGTGTTCGAAATGTTTTTTTCCAATACAGAGGGAAGCCTTATCTTTTAAATAAAATGCAGACTGCTAAAGATACAGATGGGTCAGAGGAGAAAACCTGGCCTATATGTTTTTTAAAAATGCTATTAGAAACAACAGTCTTAGCCCCTAGCCCAGAGGGACTTTATCAATATAAATAAATTGCACCAGTGTCAGAAGTGATGAGTGTATAGTACTGACTGCCAGGAAAACTTATGAGCATACTGTGGTGAAGCACAAGAGCCAGGCAGTCTCTAAGCCTCCTGTAGTTTACAGCCCATTGCAGACACATTCTCTGCCCAAGAAACAGAGGAAGTTGCGGAAAAGAGATTTAGTTTTAAGACACAGACTTCTCCGCTCAACTTTTTTTTGGTCCTCTTTCTAGATTTCAATGCCAAGTCAGAAGCTTACCTTGACAAATAAAATTTCCTTGTACCCTGTTGACTGTTCAGTAACTAGGCAGACTAAACAGTTGAGCTCATGCTGGCTGCACTTAGAGACAAAGCAGAGGAGAGCAGGAAGCTGCCTCTTGATTTCTTGTCAGCAGGAAGCTGCCTCTTCCAGTGTGGGAATCTGGTGTCTGAGCAGGCAACAGTAGCTCCTGCGACAATTCACAGTAGTTCTGGCATAAGAAACATAAGGGCATGCTTTTTTCACAACAGTGGTATTTTCTGAGGGCATAGGTGAAAGGTAAGGAACCTCATCTTTATGAAATGAGTGCAAAGATTTCCCCATTTACATTAAATACATAAGACTTTATTGCAAACCTTTCAATCAACAAGGAAGATCATCTAAAAATGCAACTGATGATATGCTCAATGTGGAACTGAACAACTGTATTTTAGAGCATTAACAGAGTAAAATATTATTTTTGTGTAGGTTTTTTTTCCTTACATTAGTAATGACTCTGCATAATATATTGCAACACCAGCCTGAATGGCTGACTGCATTGGCTTTGCTATCACAGTTGACCTTTGTTTCACAAGCAATTACCTCCACTGGCCTCCATAGTATGACATTTATCCCATGCTCTTTGTATGAACAACTCCTCTGGGGTTAACATATTATAGTGGCTCTCTTCAGTACGTGCAAAGGCCACAATGACTGTCAAATATCAATCTCTCTATTTCTGCTGGAATGAAAAAGCATTTGGGTGTGCCACATAGAAGTTTTGCCATCCATGTAGCCTACGAGTTTTTAAAGGTCAAATGATAACTTCATTTTCCTAGTCTCAAGCCGCAAGTTGTAAAACTCCCATAATTTACACAGAGGCTAATTACTCCCTAAAAGTATTTAAAAATATCTGCAACAATTTTGATTTTAAAAACTTGTGCTACCAAGAAAATTTAAATGGTGCAATTGCATTTTCAGCCGTGTTAGCATATGTGACAGTGCAGGATAGAAAACAAATCAGCCTCTGGGTGATTAAGTTCTGAGTTGAGCTTTAAATCACCAAGAGAAATTTCAGTGATTCCGCAGAGCCATAAAGAGAATTTAAAATCACAGTAATTTGGATCTGTATTAAATAATTCTGCCTTCAGATCTGTTAATAATTAATTAAAAAATAAATGGGGTATTTGCCCAAAGTGGGAAGCCACTGTGAAATTCTGCATAAGAACACAGAAGACATTCTTTGTGAAATACTATCCTAGCCTAACAAATTTGAAGAAAGACCTAAACTACATTGTATATATTTTCCTAACAACTCTCTGATAGTGTGACTCAAGAATCATTAAAGCTGAAAAAAGCAGCAAGAAAATGAGGAAGATTTTTAACCAGATGGTTTTTACTTTCTGGACTGGTGAGATAAAAATTTAAACAAATTGGTCTTTCTGCAGAAACCATGTACTTTCCATGTATTTCAGCTCAGTACCCAATTTGCCACATGGCATCTTTTCTTTTGATATCCCAGTAAGACCTAGAGGGTCTCCCATGACCCTGAGCTCTTTTTGGTTGAGTGGACAGCAGGTCAAGGCTCAGTGTGTGCCTTAGCTAGCTTGGAACTGGAGACAGGTTGCCAATGGCCCAGCTTAACTCTGCTCCTGATCTTTTGAACAGGTCACTGGAAGATGGAATTACCTGACGCTTCTCTGCCTTCCATCACACACAGTACTGTGTCTTCATTCTTGACTTCCTAGAGAACAATTTTTATGAAATTTATACAACATCAAAGCCATAGGGATTTCCACCCTTCTATCCAGCATGACTGAAGCTGATCAAAATATACAAAAACTTACTTATACAGTTCACAGACTTTCCCTTGACAAAGGCTTGGGTCTTCTAGTGCAGTACTTRTGGAGCAATTTGTGCTTCTTTCACAAATACTTTCTAGCTCTCATTTTTCACTACAGGCATGACAAACATAGTCACTTTGCTATTTCTCATCTTTCTGGGCTGGTTTTAGGGCCCAGTTGGTACCTCTTATATTTATTAGTCAGCAGCTATTTCAGAAACAAAAGAAGGACTGAGATTACTCCCTAAACTGCTTAGCTCTGGACTTCTCTGAAGTTTTCACGTGTCAGTTTCTGCAGCCACTGTGTAACAAAAATACTGAGTTGCTCTTTCCAAATACACAGAACTTACAGCAGAAGACAAGGAGTAAAGCAAGCACGCACGTGTCCGTGTGTTGTGGGTATGTGAACATACTCTGTGTCCTCCAGCAGAGGGATTAACAAGTCCCCTGCTGGGGATTTCTGGCATCCACAAAGAGAGGCAAAACAGAAAAAAAAAAAAGGGAAATAACCTTGCAGACTTCTGCACTTTTTGTATAAAATCCTCTATATTACTATATAGTCTATATACTCCTCAGCCAGCCTGCACATTGTGCCTGCTCTCTACACCTGCAAATGTGTATAAACCAGAAGGAATACATTAGTACATCAGATACATCGGACTACCAAAAGGCAAAACAAAAGGTTTTTGAGAACTCTGTACTTACTAACAATCACAAATGACATTCTCTTCAGTATTTCGATTTGGGTTTAGGAAGGGATTTCCATTCCAGATAAACGTCCAGGAGCATGGAATGACATCGTAAATTGTACTGAAGAGAAACTGAAATTACCTCAAAACAGGTCTTCCAAACACAAGAAATTGAATTAAGATGACCAACATGCAGGAAAGTCATAGATTAATCATCCAACCTTTTGTGTTGTCCCGCAGAGAGAAGGAAAAGGGGAGAGGAAGAGGAGAGAAAGAGAAAGAGAAAGAGAAGGAAATAGAAAGGCAGAACAGGGAGCTTCTGTCCACAGGTATCACTGCTTTCTGGGAAGATTAACAATAATGTTTTGAGGTCTTAAATAACAATAATGGTATGGCCCTTGTAAAGCAGATTTAACTAAGTGCCTTGTGTGTTCCACCTGGATAGCACTGACCATCTCTTTTCATCTTCACATTTGCTGCAGTGCACCTGGAATCGTAGAAATTGCTTTCTGGGACCAGCAGTCATCTAATCATTTTGGCGATCCTTATTTCACTCATTAGCTCCCATTTAACACAATTCTTTGAGCAGAGAACAAAGGATAAATCTGGGAATGTTTTTGAGAAAAAGCCTGTCTTTTCTTGCCTGCACCTGGGGGACAAGGGCCAGCCACTGCCGACCCAGTGAGCCGCCTTTGTGCTGACAAAGAAATAAACAAAAAAAAAAAAAGAGAACAGAGAAAATGCTGCCTCGGGAAAGCTAACTGCAAAAATTTCCTTTTACTTTAAAATGTAAATTGGACACTTATTTTGTTTGGATTTTGCATTCACTTATTTTAAATGAAGCATGAAACACGGTCAGATATAATGATTTGGAAATAGTTTCAGCTATTCATGTTTGCAAAGCCATTAAAATTATTATTCCTTTCTACAAAGAAAATAAATAAAATAAAATAAAATAAAATAAAATAAAATAAAATAAAATAAAATAAAATAAAATAAAATAAAATAAAATAAAATAAAATACTAAACTAAAATCTTATTTCCATTTCCGTCCTTGAAAAACTTATTTTACAAGGCACTAATGAAGCTGTGATTTTATGAAGAACAGATTTGCATGTAGATAAACTCTAATTCCACTTGCTTGTCTTGTATAAGTGGGAAAAACTAATATAAGTATAAATGGAAACAAAATAGCTCAAGGATGATTAAATTAAAAAAAAATCTTTAAAATATTAGGAATTTTTTACATCTTTCATTGAGTTATCTTAGGCTGCAGAAAAGACTGGCAGTACAAATACAGCAGTCAGGAGTGTGTTTTACTTCACATTCATAACATCCATCAGCAGAACTTTGTAAGGCATACATACTTTATTTTGGAAAAAAAAACAAACCACCTGTTGTGAAGTTGGATCTCCCCATTTGCAGGAATGGTTATAGCTACAAAGACAAATCTGTACTCAGCATTGGAAGAGGAACATTCCCACACGGAGGAGCAAGACAAAGTGTAGACAAGTCTTTAAAACTTACCCTGCAGAAAATTATTCCGAGATGAGACTGCATAAAGGACTAGTCTTCTACCAGCATTTAGTGCAGCCGAGGTGACTTAGCTCCCCATGCTTTTGGCAGCTGCTCACAGTTCTCTTATGGCTGGTTTTCCAGGCTCACAAGAGGAATTATTCCTAGGGCCCACCTCACTGTGAAAAGATTCAGCCACCGGACAACTGGTTTGCTACCCAGAGTGTTGGACATGCGTTTTGCTGAATCCTGTGATATTTTTTGGGATTTGACTGGCCTGTTTCACTCTGTTTGCCAAAGCAAGCAGCCAATCTATGTCTGGAGGAAAGTGTCTGGTTCAGCAGTCTGCAAACATGCCAGTGCAGTGACTTCTGCATTCCTGTTCCCTCTCCATACCTGCCAGCAATGTGGAACTTGCATATGCAATACTCTCTTGCAGTCTGGGAGACACTTTGCTGCTGGTTTCCTCTGTGCACTCAACAATTGCTCTGCTTTTAAAAATCTTTTGTTGTTGCTGTAGTTTTTAATGTATGATCTGCTCCAGGAAGGCTCTTAGACTTGTACCGTGGCAGTCTTTGACATAAAGATTTTATTAGTTTCTTCCAATTCACCTTCCAGTGTGCAACTTGGAAACAAACAGTATGCTTGCTGGCCTCCAGGTTTGCAGAATGAGTCTTCAGGGCCCTCTCTGCTACAAACCAAACAAATACACACTTTAATTAGCATTAAAACATCCAGATTAAACAAAATTCAGGATTCCCCGGGGAAACCTCCTTATGCTACTAATATGAGACCTAGCAAGAAAACAGCAATGGACACTGGATCCTTTTATGTAACAACAGCATTTTTCGCCATATTTTTGTGTAATGAAAATTAATTAAGACTTGTAAATTTAAACATTAAATCATTAGGCAATGCCAGAATAAAAATGGCTTGAGCAATCCTAATTCCACCTCCACCCCCATACAAACATTCTGTATTTAATGAGCCTGCATGGCCTTTAATTACACTTTCAGGTATCATGTGGGCTCCTTAGATAGTACAGAATGCACAAAACTAAATAAGTTTTCCTATTTCATTTCCCTTTCTTTATTTTTATTTTTATGTTACCAAGTTTTAATGACAGTTGAGAAAGGGACAGCATTCTCAACAACAGCAAAGTCCCTACAGTTTCATGAAAAGCTGTGGCTAAAGAGAAAGAAAAACCTATTAGCACCACAAAACAGAAAACCTGCAGTGTCAGCAGCAAGCAGATGATCCATGCAAGAGGATACTACTAATGCCCCAACCATGATGAAAGGGTTGCAACTTACTCAGTGCTAGTCAACCCAAAAGTACACCCCTAAGGTATCTGACTTAGTTCTGCAGCTCAGGAGATCTTTTTCCCTACCTCTTTCATTAGATAGCAGGTGAAGGAGCTGCTTTTCACTTTGTCCCTCTTTCCAGCAGTGATGAGATCTCTGAAGATTCAACTGAGTGTTAGAGCAGGACATCTCTGTCTTCAGGAAAAGGAGAGACAAATAAGCAGAACAGCTTGGGTAAGTAGGGAATTGTGGCAGAACTCCAATGCCAAAGAAGAATATACAGGAGATGGAAGCAGGGATGGGCTACACAACAGGAATTTAAAAACATTGCCCAGGCATGTAGGAATGGTGTCAGGAAATGAAAATCTCATCTGGAATTTTGACTTGCATGTCAATAGTAACAAAGAGAGCTTCAATGGCTAAGAGGTAAGCAGCTGAACAAAGAAAATGGAGTCCAGTCACTGAGTAGGCTGGGTGATTTACTAAAAGTGGACACAGTCAAACCTGAGGAACTCAACGCCTTTTTACAAAGCAAGGTCTCCCACACCTTCAAGCCAGGAAATCATGGAGGGGAAAGATGACAATAAGTGGGTGAAATAGGAATTGCTGGAGAAAACTTGGCTTATATAAGTCCATGGAAACACAAGGGCTGTGTCCAAGGATGCTGAGAAAGATGTCTGAGGCAATCACAAGATCACTTTCAGCCATCTTTGAGTACCCATGGACGCCCCTGCCAACTGTAGAAATGTTGCACCTATACTTAAAAAGAACTCTTATACTTACAAAGGATATTTTATACTTAAAAAGTTGCCCAGGCAACTGCAGACTGTCCAGTCACATTCCAATCACTGGGGAAAAAAACCATGAAAAAAATTCTCTTGTACATTTCTGAATACATGAAGAAGATGTAGGCAAATGTGAATAATCAGCACAGGTTCACCAAGGATAAATCTTAACTGTGAATGTGCCTGATTGACATTTTTTTATAAAAGAATGGGATTTGTGGACAGGTGAGAGCAATGATGCAATTTACCACGAGTTTAGCAACATTTTCAACTTTGTCTACCAGTGTTCTTGCATTTAAGTTAGGACATTATGGTCTGGATGCGTAGCCAACTGATCCAGCTTTGAATGAGGTTCAGAGAGTTGTGCTGAATGATTTGTACTCAGTCTGAGGGCTGTGCTGTGGCATATGTCCTAGGACATATGTAGATCCAGCAGTAGAATCAATTTCCCAGAGAGGTTGTGCAGTCTCCACTGCTGAGGGTTTTCAAGACTAGAATGAGTTTTAAGTAAACTGGTTTGACCTCATTGCTGTTTCATCCTAAAGACCCAGGGGCTAATGTGTATGTTTCAAACACTGATAGCCAGATAGCTGTGGAGGCAACCATGGACTGTTGGCAGTAACAGCCAGGAATTGGACAGACCAGGATGTGGTTGGAGAAGAGACCATAAGGAGGCAGGGCAGCACGTTTCTGGGGCAAATGCCCTTGATCTGGCTCCTGGAGATGAGCACAATGCAGCACAGCACAAGTGCAGAGATGCGGCTGAGAAGTGGGCATAGATGGAAGAGCAGATCAAAACCACCAAAGTTCCCCAAAACCCTCCAACCCATTTCCAGAAATGTCCAGAGGAATAGCCTGTACAGGATTACTAACTTGCATAGAAAGTGAGAAACTTGTCTTCAAAATGGGGACATTTATCTATAAAAGGTACCCCAACCAAGCCCAGGTGTGTAGGCACTCCCAGAATCCTGAACACACCATCAGCTGGATCGATGCTGGAGCCAAGATTGGTCATCCCACTTTCTCCCTTTTCTCCCTTTCATTCTCCCACCTACTCTCCAATTCCCACTACTCTCTCTGTTCCCTTTCATCCCATCTTGATACCCAAAACCTAGTGCCATGTGCAGGTCCAGCACATGTAGGTCCAGCACGAACTCAAATTAATGTATGTGCCAAGAATGTAATTTACTAATAAAACTCTGTAAGCTTTTGTGGACCCTCTGACTTGTAATTTCTTTCAACCATGAGCATCTATAAATATTGGGTATTCCCTTGCCCCTTAAGCCACAACTACTGACCCTGCTTTGAACATGGACGATCCTGTAATTACCATCATGGGGGATGAATACTGGAGAAGTGCTAGGGATGCAGAATCCTCTCCCAGCACTAAGTTATTTCACATCCATTTATTAACCAAGGCCCAGAGACTAGTCCATTGCTGAAAACTTTCTTTCCCATACCTATTGTATCAGTTGCATTGCTGGATCTATTCACGGAATATTAGATATGCTCACATATCAGAGATTACAGGTATCTCAGTACAAGTACTTATAAAACAAGAAATCTTTTAACTGAGAAGCAGACATCTGGCTTATGCTTCCCGCTTCTAGAAATGAGAACCAGGATCAATATAGGGATAAGATTTGCTTAGGTATGGGAAAGAGAGGGTGACACAGGGGAGAAAGGATCAGACAGAGATATCAGGAAGAAGCAGAGCACCAGAAAAGAATGAGAAAATGCAGGGCAGATGAGGCCATTCTCCTTCAACATTGATCTTATCACAGTCTTGTTGAGTTGCCACTAACAAATGGTGCCCCTGCCCATAGGGTATGTGGTACAGAGCAAAGGAATGAGGTTGGAAAGAACCGCTCTGAGTAAGATTATCTTCCTGAAGCCCCAGACCGGTCCTTGCAAGGTTACATACAGCAAGGTGATACATCTAGAAGGACAAGTGAAGAAAAAGATTTATTTTACTTCCAGGTGTGGGAGCAAATTGTTCTGCTCCAAACAACAAAGCAGTTCTCTCCTACTGCTGTTGTCTTTTCCCCTTTCCTGTTTCAAGTAGAAACAGCACACCACATTACCTTGACATAAGAAAAAACATAGAAAAGGGCTAAATCGGGCAGATTTGATACTGATCTACCCTACAAATAGGTGCAATTTGAGTTTTTAATATATTTTACTAACAAAATGAATCCGCAGATGTATTACCCATGGGATTTTGGTTTCTGACAGCATTGTTCAGACATCTTTAATGATAACAGAGGTTTTAAGCAGAAAAAGGAGAGAGCACGGTGATCATCACGAAGACAGAGCCTTAGTGAAGTTCATTTTCACACAGGGCTTGCCTGCCAGCAGGAGAAAACAGTGGGAGGGGGGAATAATGGCTCTCCTGGTGAGCACTGTCCACTCCRTTGTCATGTGTCTTTCTGCTGTCACACACACATGGGCTTCTTTCCAGCACGCTGATGTACAAGTTCCTCCCAACATGACAGCATTGCTGGGTCAGGAGGGCAGTTCGCTTGCAAACACAACCCATGTCACTGCATGTCTTTTCAGAGCAGGGCAGAAGTAGCTGTGCATCAGCCTACAACAAAGAGCTGTGCACATTTGTCAGCAGCTCACACACCAGGCAAACCAGGTCAGGCATTGCAGACAGAGGAATGTGTCAATCAACAATATTACCTTAATAATCCCACTTCCTATTACAAAATGTCAACTGCTATTACTAAATGTCAACCCCTAATTCCAGCTGAGAGAGACTAGAAAGTACTGTCTATCAGTCAGTAAAGCTTGCTCACTAGCACAAACAACCCATGATTCTCTCTACCCTGAAATAACAGGCTTGACATGGGCAAGGAATGGTTTCTGCTCCTTCATTTACCTCTCTCCACTCCCTACTCCATTCCCACCCTGGAAAATTTCAGCTAAAATCGTTCATGAGAGAATAATAGCATGCAGGATAACCTTCCTTACCCACTCTTCCAAAAATGCTCAAAGCATTTGGAATAAAATCCTTCTCACAGTAAGTGACCCCTGCCTGTTACTGAGAAGGTGGTGCRCTTTTAGCATATTGTGGTGAAGAATGGCACAAGGATTTCAAAGGCCTGAGCAAGAGGTGACATAGTGGATGTTAGTATTCTGAAGCCATTTCTGGAATCCATCAGCCTGTCAGCTCAGGATTGCTGAGGCAGAGCAGTGGGTGTGTGGGGAGTGTGTGAGGCTGATTAGATCTTAGAACTGGGGTAAAGGCGTCCAGGCACTACCAATGTTCAACCGACCTGAAGTCACAGGTCTTGTTTGGAAGCAGGAGAGGCTTTTCTTTTGCACTTTTGGCTTTTTCCCTTGGTGAGTTTTTGAGTAAGAGGTAACAGCTAGTGTGAGTATCTCTGCATCGCGGAAAGAAAATACTGCTGTTKTGCTGCGGCAAAACCAGTCATACAAATCCATAAGCCAACTGCAAAACCTGTAGCTGACAGACCCCAGCGGGTCTCAACATTCTYCCTTTATCGTCCTCTAGTCTTTTTCCTACTCCAGTAAGCGATCGGCCAGGGCTGCTCCCGCAAGTTTTCTCCCTTCTCATGGCACCACCCGCGCCCCCAGCCGCCGCAGTTACCGCTCGGGTGCCGCCCGGAGGCGAGAGCTAGCGGTGACTCCGACAGTACCGCGGAGCCGTCAGCGGGCAGCAGCGATGGTGGCGATGCTGCTGTTGTGGTTTTAACGACAGGCGAGCAGGAGAGGCGTCTCCCCGCCAGGGCGCCACACTGCCCGCGCACCTCAGCGGCCCCGATGCGGAGCGCCGGGCCTTTCCCCGCTGCCGGCTCCGTGGAGAGGGGCTGGCGCTCGGCCCGGCGCGGCCCCACAGCGAGGGCACGCCCGCAACACTGCCCCAGCCGGGCCGGGCGGYGGCAGCGGGGCCGGGGCCGCCCCGGGGAGGCCGGGAAGGGCGGCGGGGCGGGGCCGGACGGGGCAGTGCCGAGCTGAGCCGCGCCGGGCCGAGCCGAGCCGCGATGGAGGGTGCTGAGGCGGCCAGCCTGCTGGCGGAGCGCAGCCCGGGGCCGCTGGCCCAGTTCAAGACGTACCGGCGGCGGTGGTTCCTGCTGGCCGTCGTGTGCCTGCTGAACTGCTCCAACGCCATGGTGAGTGCGGCGCGGGGCCGCTTCTCCCACCGAGGGCAGCCCTCGGCTGTGGGGCTCCTCCGGGCTGGTGGGGAAAGGGCGGCCGCCGCAGGGTCGGGTGCCCGAGCGGCGGGCGGAGGCGCAGGGCAGGCAGGGCACACAGCCCTCCCTCCCCTACCGCCGCTCTGTGCAGCCCATCTGGAGAGCAGCTCTGGCTGCGGCAGCTGATACGGAGGGAAAACGGGCTGACATGGCTCGCCGGAGCCAAAACCATCTCCTGTTTCTTCCTAGAAGCAACCGGGCAATCCTCAGGGCTCTGCCCCAGTGCCCTGTCTCAGAGCCACCCCCTCATCCTTGGAGCACCGGGACTCGGTTGTACTCGCACAGTCCAGAGAAGCCTCTGCCTGGCCGTGCCTTATGGACCCAATGAGTGGCTTTCACTTTTGAACTTTGTTGTTGTGGATACGGCCTGCACGCTTCCCTTTCTGACGGGTGGGATGAGGGGTGGTGACGGGGGAAGGACAGGATGGGGCGGGAGGGTGTGTGTGATCTCCGAGAGCACAGCAGGAAGTACCGCAGCGTCAGCTCACACTGGGATGAAGCAAAATGTGACCTGGAGCACAGCAAAAGTTGGTGCCGAGTCCACATCGTAGGCCATGGGGAGACAGAGAAAGCATTCAGCGTCTATGAGAGTCACATGTTTCTAGCCTAAGAATAGGAGAGCAGTGTTGAAACGCCGTGGGAGAGAACGGGAGTTACCTCTGCCKCATTGTTGGTCTGTGACAGCAGAGTAATCTGGTCAGGAAAAGAAACAAGTTTTCTTTCCGCGTCTGTTGCACATTATCGGAGTAATTCTGCACTAAACAGATGGTTGTATGAACTTCTCTGGCCTGCTCTTAGTGCCTTATTCTGAGAGACCTGAAAAAATGGGATGCCAGATCACACACCACCTGTTGAGCAGATTTAAATTAAGTTCAGTAGTTACAGAGATAAAGCYATGAAGTTTCCTCTTATCAAGGCTTAGTATATGAAAAAGAAGCCCAGATCTTTGCTCATCAAGTAATTGAGAACATTGTTGATAATTATCAGACTGATGTAGATTTATTCATGTCAAGGATTATCATGCTGTGAATGCAGGCTGTCTGGCAGACAAGATCAGGCACTRTAACCTGCAAACATTTAAATGCTGTGAAGGAAGGTTAGGTATTCCATGATGCAAGAGTGCTGGAGCAGAGAAATGGAAAAACATACTGAGAATTTGGCTGTATATTGAAAAAAAAAATTGAAATTAATTCATCTTCTCAATGGAAGATCAGTATCTCCTTTAAGAGTGTAAAAAAGTGTACTGCAGAAAAGCCCCACTGCTTGTCTGCAGTTACATTGGCACAGCAGAGGAGCCTTTCGTGGCGAGAAATAAACCCACCCTGCTGGAAGTGTACAGTCACAGCATGGATTAAGGAAGCTATCCCAAGTCTCCTCCAAGATTTTGATGTTGCTGAAACCTTAATAGTRAAACCGGAGTGTTTCTTAAACAGATAATTTCAGTACATCTGCAAGTATTMCTGTGTCCTCAGTGTGTTGCTGAAAACTTTGTAGCCCTGGAAGATTGACCTGTTCTGTCTCCCTTGCCTCTTGATAACTTCCTGGCTGCCCAGTATTATTTTTCTGTGGTCTAAAATTAGGTCAGAACTTTGCCACTTCAAAACTGGGTGCCTCATAAATATCTGAGAATGGAATTATTGTTTCTAAGCCATTGCAGTGATCTGAAATGGCAAGTATACTGATGTATAAAGTTGTAAGCAAACATTTGCTGATGCTAAGGTTTCTCCTAAATGTTCCTGATAAAAATTGCATTAAAATGGAGGGAGTGGTTGAAAGTCCATGAAATCAAAGTGGTTGGTTGCTGTTTAAAAGTTCCAGATGAAAAGATTAATTTACCAGTCCTGTGGTGTGAAAAATTGCCCTGCAAGTTGTGTCTTAATTCCTATGCAGATGTTGCATGCAGCACTTTGTTCTATGTACTCGTGTGTCAGGTTGTCTGCAAATKCATATGGTGAGGAGCATGACTTTTGAATTGTCTGACTGGCACCCCATTTGCTGCACCAAGCTTCCAGAATGACGCTTTGTATTCCCCATTCTTGTCCATATACATGCAGGTTTTTTTTAAATGGCCTTCGATGTCACTGAAAGTGGCAATCAGGAGGCAGTAGTGAGTAGGGAGACTGTCAGTGTCAGGAAGACAAGGYAGAAGCAACTTAACTGCAGGACAGCACATTTAGTCATGCAGCAACGGCAGGCTGAGAAAGGAGTATTTCTTAGTTCAGTCTTGTTTAGGGGATGATTGAGCAAAGCCAGACCAGACCATGTGATGAGAGGGGCACTCTTCGCTGTATGCTCCTGCTCCATATCATCGTGTGAAATCCCTTCATTAGCTGGAGTAGCATGGAGTTAATATGATATGGAGGCTTTTGCATCAATGATAAATAGCCTCTTACTTGAGCCTTTATTACTGACCTGAGTTTAGAAGCCTCTGTCTCTCCCTGCTGTACAAAGTGGGTACTGCCTTAGCAGGTCTGCCTTCTCATTTCCTCAATATGGCTATACTGAAAATTCCTAGCTGACTGTATAGTATAAGAAACTCCTGCCTTACCTTAAGAACACGGTAAGCAGACATCAGCATAATTCACTGGGCAGAGGGGTTTTCTGACCACAGTTAAGCTTAGGTGATTTATCCCCAGCTGTCTCTTGCAGCATTGCTGATAGGGTGACATAACTTTGCCTGCGGTTTCTCCCCAGATTTGTTTCACYAGACTTATGCTGTGATTTTGAGCCTTTTTCATCTGAAGACCTAATGTTTAARAATACTCATGGTGTGATCATAGGCTGCTGTAGCAGTAAACTGTTGGAAGCAAACAGTTCCTTCCTTCTTTCCCTTTTTCCTGTGAAGCTGAACAGGTGGGAACTTTGTGTTTCACAGACTTTCTCTTGCCTTTGCACTGGGGACTCAGAAGGCAGAGGAATGAGACTGRGAGTGTTCACTGCCCTGTTCTGTGCTCACCAGCATGAGCAAGCTGGGGAGCAGCAGGGGAGCTGGCTCACACTTGGCTAAGTGGTTCCTGACTCACCAGCTGAGGTGAGTCAGGTGGAGGACTTACACCACCACTTAGAGTACTTGGGAGAGGAAGGAGAGCTGCACGAGTGGAGTCTGGCATGCTCCAGGACAGGGTGCACACGCTCCTCAGCCACACCTGACTGCTTCAGCAGTGCTCCTTAGATACGCACACAGCTGCAGTTCTTTCRTGCTGCTACTTCTGAGAGCTTTAGAGGGTAAAAGGGATATTTTGGCAAGAATCTGGCCTTCTCTGAAGGTCATGCTTCTGTTCTGACATCCTAGGCTTCTGTGTCAGCATGGGTGCCTTCAGCTTCTCCCAGGGGCTGTTTGGTTCTAGTGTGGCCCTTGTTATGTTGAAGATGAGGACTCTGGTGTAAGGGCTTCATCATCAGTCTCAGAGGAGAAGGAGGAGAAAGACATCCTTCATCGCCTTATAAGCAGTGTTCAGTGCATGAAAGAAAATATTCTGGGGTTGGGAGAATTGCTGTGGGCAAAGCCCGTGTGGGGACTGGTGAGCTGTGCTAGTGCCTGTTAGGAAGCASAAGTTCCCATTTCATATGAGACATACCCTTGGCTCCTCTTAAAACTGCACATAATAGGTACTACAGGGGCATTGCTGCAGTCTAATCAGCTATACAGTGTGGCAAAAGTGAAAAGCACTCCATAAGCAACCTTTGCTGGCTGATGCCATCACTGACATGGCAAAATGGCCTGATTTTCACCTGGCCTGGTTGCATGTGTAGCTTTCTGCAAATATTTTCGTTTTCTCTTTTAGAATCCTGATTTGTTAATGAGGAAAGTAGGCATTGATTACCAGCTTGTCTTTTGTGAAGAACATATTTGACACTGCTTCTGGCAAGGCTRTATCTGATTGTACATTTGATGCATCAGTATATCACTGCAGCTCTTTGAGCTCCAAAAAATACTGCACCTGTGTCATGTACACTGCCTTCTACAGATCACACCTATTGCTTACCAAAGTGTAGAGTCTGTATGGAATCCTGGCCTCAGCCATCACCTTGCTACCATTGCAAACAGAGAACTTGTGTCTCACAGGCCACCAGTAACCTCCTGCAGAAATGGGAGGAAGGACAAATACTGGGCTCCTTTGGAATGAGTGGAGGGAAACTCGATCCTGCAGGTGAAATAAGTCCTAGGGTGTCTGTGCAAGAGTGGGAATAGTAAAGGCAATAAGGTGGAAGAACCGAAACAGGAGAAGATGGAGTTAGAAGAGGCATGAGAGAAGGAGGAAAATTAAAGGATTTGGGCTGATTCTGGGTGGAAGAGAGGGGGATAAACATCTGAGAATCAGCTAAGGGTATACAAGGGTATCAGAAAAGGCAACAGAAAAACTTGTAAATGGAATCAGGATGAGAACAGCCGTAACCTGGTTGGATTATAGGAATGCCCATGCAGGTATACAATTATCATAGCATCATGGTCACAGAATCATAGAATTATAGAATGGTGTGCATTAGAAAGGACATTGAAGATCACCTAGTTCCAACCACTCTGCCATGAGGATGGACACCTTCCATTAGACGAAGTTCATTCATCCTGACCTTGAGCACCTCCAGTGATGGAGAGTCCATAACCTCTGCGGGCAGCTTGTTCCAATGCCTCACCAACCTTAAAGTCAATTTCCTAATATCTAATCTAAATCTACCCTCCCTTAGTTTAAGGCCTGTCGCCATTTTTCTGCCACTACATGCCTTGTGGAAAGTCCCTCTCCATATTTCTTGTCAGCCACTTTTAATGGAGATTAAGTTCCAGTTAATGGAGAAGGGACCAATCAGTCTCTGGAAGGTGCAGGAGAATTAAAAGCAAAATGCTAGCGAGAAGAAGGTTAAAGCAGGGGGCAAGAGGGCTGAAAGTGAAGCCAGTACCATTCCCAACATCAGTACCAGTCAGGTGACAGGAGTGCCCGTGCACTTATCCTGGTGTTGCTGTGAGCTTCATTGTTAAAAAAGGTGTGCAGGGGGCCCTCTGGTAATTGAGGATATAAGTAGACTATGGGTGGAAAGCATCTCTGTCCTTTTCTTCTAGTGTTGGAGCATGACTCCCCAGTCACCAGCTGTGTGCAGTGGGAGTTGCAGCTGTACTGCAGTGCAAGCCAGAACAAGCTTATGCATCTTCAGGGCCCCTTCAGTCCTCTTCCTCAGCTGCTGAGAATGTGTTTTTATAGTAAAGAGTGTGTGTTGAAGTATGTCTTCCAGACCGGACTAGCATGCACTGGAGCTTTTGCTATCTTTAAACTCAGAAACCACAGTGAGATGAGCATGTTTCTAAAGCTTGGGCTCAGGAGAGGAAAGTGGGAATTAAAATTCCTGCCTTTGGAGAAGAAATGGTACATTATTACAGTGGCTATTCCAACATACTGCTAGATGCATATTTGAAAGGAGGGAAAAGTCCATACCAAATGCTAAAGTACCAAATACCATGGTCTTCAATATCAGTGAAATAACCAATGATACTGGATTATACTACAGGAGGAGCTGTGATTTGAGAACATCTAATGCAAAATCTGTGACATAATGCTGGGGAAGTGAGTTTCCCAAGTGTTAGGGGATTTAGCTCACAAACTTGTTGGGGCTTTTTGGCCATTAAAGGCAAAGAGTACCTGTGATTTAGTGACTCTGCGTGGGCTTCTGTGTAAATCTCTTGACATAACATGCGATGGCCCAGAAAGTGAACTGCTGCTGACCTCCAGCATCATCYACTCCAACTTGTGCCAAGCTGGGAATTTTGTCAAAGTTTGCCAAAAGGTTTTTGTTAATTGTAGCCCTGGCAGGGAAGGTGAATGAAAACTGCTTGTTACCACAGCAGTCAGGAATTGACATTGTGGTATCTGTTGAGCTGCCTTCAGAGGAGTGTATGTGGACACAGACAAAGCAGTGGAGCGCATAACACAGACTGCTCTTGACACSTTCTGCAGCTCACTCCGAGGCTCTGGTTTTGTGTGGCCTCTCAGGCAATGGAGCTGCCTGCAGCTCGACCAGACCACAAGGGTGTATTTCCAGAAAGTGAAGCTTGTGCAGGGACTGAAAAAGTGAAAGGATTTAACAGTCATGCAAGGACAGAGGTGTTTCTGTTTCTTCTTCCTCTGTCTGTCCCAGAATCAACCAGGTCTTGGGGTCTGACATCCTATAATCTCACACATTCTTGTATCTGCCACTGTGATCTACAGTGGTGAGCTTTGATACAACTCATTCAGTTAAGATTTGGGCATGACCGTCCTTGTGGAACCCTTCCARCTCAGAACATTCTATCATTCTGTGATTCTGCGGTTGGCCCTTGGGGAGTGACAGAGAGAGGAATCTCTCTCTGTCTCTATTCTGCAACTTTAAGCTTACAGGACTTTGACCTCCTCAACGAAGTATGGCATTTTCTTTACCTGTTCTACCTGAGGAGATTTATATCAGGGCAGCCGCTATGTAAGTACCAGCCTTGGCAGTGCAAAGTTTCAGAAAAACATGTAGAATAAGGGCTCTAGCTCCCAGCAGAAGAGCTTACTGACTACTGTAGGCGAGGTTACCATAACTGGGAACACCAAAAGCAGAAGATGGCATACTCACTATTTCCCTGCAGGCAAAACTCCCTGTTTGTTGCAGGGGTGTTTTCTGGCCCCTTTGACTACAAATGCATCTTGAACTCCATTGCCCAGTTCTGAATTTCTTTTTTTAGAGCAATACATGGTCCAGACCCGTAAAGAAACCTGCTTCCTGTTTTGAGGGACAAGCTCAGACTTGGACAGGCTGCAACTTTCCACCCTCCATGCTCTCACATGGATAGGCTGGAACTGGAACTGTTGCGTAGGCTAGGAGTATGGGGGAGCCCATATGCATGGTGTTCTGCAAGGAATGGTTTTACTAGGTCTAGTGATATTGTGCTAGAGTCCTTGATCCCAAATTGCCTAGATCCGTGTAGTCACTGAACACAATGGTGTGCTCTGGATTGTCATCACTTTCCTAATGATGTAATGCATGGGTGAGCATCTTGTGTAGAAGAACAGAAGGGGTGAAAATGTACCTGGAGCTGGTTTACAAAATGTGTCATCGCTTTCATTACATTGTTTCCTGGTACACTGTTTCATCACCACACACACACACACACACACGGCCGTGTGGAAGGCAGCGAGGAACTGGGAATTGCTACTGCTGGAAATACACAGCTGGGGTTTGTTTAGCATTAGTTTAGCATCCCATAAGCAAACTAATGCTCATGCCTTAGTAATGCTTGTAACATCTAAACAGTTACATTAACATTAAACATTTAAACTCCTGTCCCAGTCTGATGRAAGTCTGGGAAGTGACCTGACTTAGCCTCATTGTTGTCTAAGAGTGCAGTTTCCTTCAGAACCTAGCATCTTTATTCACCTGACTGTAGAAGCAAATCCATCCCCTACCAATCCTTTGACTGAAGTCCTGTCAGTGTGTCTGAGTCCAGYGTGGTGATGTGAGCTTTGAGCTGGATGCAAGAGATGTGCCATGGCAGCTCCTTCTAGAGAAGAGGAAAGGGCTGATGCTAGTCCTTGCAAGGATGCTGCTGATGCCATTTGTTTGTGGGTATTTGCATGTGGTTATTCTCACACAGTGACTGTAGCAAGAAGAAAAGTCCACCTCCCTTTCTGCTCCTGTCTAATGCGGTAGTTTTTATGGGCCCTAGCATATAAGAAAAAGAAATCAGCCAAGAAGGAGATTATAGAGACACACCATCCTCTGAGATTACACAATCCATTTTCAATCACACATAAATGTCACAGCTGATGCTATCTGCAGGATTCAAGCTGTGAAGGGGAAGCTTGTGATGGAAAAGGGGAGTACCTGAAAAAGGGCAGTGGCTGGAATTCTTTTGTAGAAAGCTATAAMTGAAGGTTTTGCTCACATTTCTGCAAACTTTATAATCTTGAGTATTTAGMAGCAGTGGAGTAGCTTACATTGACATTATTGAATGGTTTGGCCATTTGACAGGTTAGGCCAGTCTTTTTGAAAAGCTCAAGGAGGCATCTTAGTGAAGAATCTACAGAAACTTCCTTAACTTTTTAGTACTTAATTTTATTTTTTGTGGGTGTGATCTGAGAACCTGATTTAGGATCAAGCAGGTCTTGTGCTTCCCATAAGAAACCAGAAACAGACAGGAACTGTGAAATAATGTCTAAAACAAGGTTTAGGGAGCTGTGTTCAGATATGGCACTGGAAGAAAAATGTGGATAGTTGTTGAAGTACCTCTCTGYTTTGTGTTCTAATACATTAAACAATGCAAATTTCAGGTAATTTTCTAACTGTTGAGTGTGTATAGGAAAGCAGGTAATAATGTATCTCTTGGCTAACACCTAGTAAAGTTGWTCTTGCAAGGCCACATCCTGGCCAATGGAACTGAAAATACAAGTCTGAGTTTAAGAGGATCTTAGCTGCAGAGAGGAGGTGGCAGCTTCTATTTTGTGTGTGCTAACACAGAAGGATTCCATGTGTTTTACATCAGGTACGTAAGTGCATCAGGGCCAATGTGGTCAACATGGAGACATGAAAAGGTACTGACCTCTGCTTTTGCCAGCCTCCATCATCAGGACTAGGGCACTCAGGATGAGGCAGTGAAACCGATAGGATGTCCTGGGCCAAGTAACTGCAGACACTTGGGTTCAAAGGGTTTGAACTTTTATTACCAACCTTAACCTAATTTCAAGGGAAGGCTAAGACAGTGAACTTATTCACAACTCAGTTTGAGGGGATGCTGAATTTCTCTTCTRTGAGAGGTGTTCATGCTTACCCATGTTTGATCTCTACTCTGCAGCTGTGGCTGACGTTTGCTCCTGTGGCTGATAAGACAGCTGCCTACTTCCAGATTTCCCTGGAGACGGTCAACTGGCTCTCGATGGTGTACCTCCTCATTTCAATCCCATTTGGTCTGGTGGCAACATGGGTTCTCGACAGCGTGGGGCTCCGATGTGCAGTGAGTTGAAGAGTTCTGTTTCCCTGAGGAAGTTTCACTTAAAGTTGCTGTAGATGCATAAAGCCTAATAAAAGCACTTTGAATAGGAGTCTTGCCAARTGCTGCAGATGATGATCATGTTGAAAGCTCTATCCTTGTTCAGTAACAGCTTGCACATCCCCTCTGAGGTGGAGAGAGCAGTGGGAAAAGTCAGAATAAAGTTGCATCCCTGCTTGCTTTTTCCAGCTTTATTTGTCATTGTCTTAGCCASCCAACAGGGACAGATACTGTGAGCTGACTCTGTAGACCTTTCTGTAACTGGGTCAGATTTGCTGTGGAAAAGTGTTGGCACTGCAATTTTGTTTACAGGGACAGTTTAAGGAATAGCAGAGCAGAGTGCAAGCAAAAGACCACTGTCAGGTCAGAGCTTGGTCTCTGCTAAGCCAGCTTGGAATCACTGCACAGTCCCAGAATTGTGTTGTGGAATGTGGCACTGAAACATTAGCATGCTGATGGTATAGAAGAGCATTTCAAGGATCCATAAGAGGAATGATTCATTCCCGTGATCTTTGGATTGTCACCAAATATGGGTGATGGTGCAAACTTGCCAACAAGGTGTAATTAGTGAATGTTGGATTTCTCATCAGTGTGGTTCTTACATGGGGCCAAGATAGCCACCTTACTCCGTAAGGAGGCTGATAACTCACTCTTGGATCAGGAGCATCTTGCAGTGGCCTAGAGGGTGGGGATGGTCTGCAGGCAGTGATTACTAATACCCATTGTCTTCTGTAGTGCATTTGAGACCCTGCTCATGCTTTTGTATTAAGTTCTGCCCTCCAGGCTTCAGCACACAAACCCTGGCTGTTTCTGCTCACTGCAGGTGGTCCTGAGTGCATGGCTGAACATGGTTGGTAGCATCACCCGGATGTTCAGTGTTCTGAAGTTCCTCAGCTTGGGTTCCCAGAGTTACTGGTACCTGATTATTGGACAATGCYTCTGTGCATTAGCACAGCCTCTTATCATCTTTTCACCAACAAAGCTGGCAGCACTATGGTTCCCAGACCACCAGAGAGCAACAGCAAATATGATTGCATCAATGTGTAAGTGACAGCTGCAAAGCAATATTCCTACCTTGCAGAACTTGCTAGCAATCTGTTTGCCTTTCAGAGGCAGCAGGCAGAGAAAGTCCTTTGTACTGCAGCCATTTGCCCTTGTAAATACAGCTCCAAGAGTCACATAGCCATGTGCAGCGAAACAGGGAAGCAAGAAGTGGGTCTAAGCCGCATCCAGGTGCAGTGTTTGGAATAAGCCATCCAGACCCATAACCTTCTTCCTCTCTTTCAGGACCAGGTTGTCATCTTTGCCTAAAAGGTTGGGGGCAGCCCTTAATACTACCAAATTTTTAGTGTCCTTAATTTTGCAGCTTCTTAGGWAGGTGTCTTAGCTGCTTGTAGTGCCAATGGTCACAGTTGCCAGGTGCTGTATCTGCATAGAGGTTAGGTGTGGTGAGGCAAGGCTGCTGTGGCAGTTTTACCCACCAATTCATCCAATAGGAAGGTTGAGCACGTATTTCTTATTGGTATGTAGCACACACAGATAAAATATACTTACCTGTCTGCACAAACATGTTGGGGGTGCTAAATAGCAGGATTATCCATGCAGAAAGTATACCTGCCTTGCTAAGTGCCTGGAAGCTGGGAAACTGGAGGAGAGGCGCCAGATAAGCTTGCTCTAATCACACTCCTCTCCTGGCTCCTTTGGGCACAGATAGAGACAGGATACTGCACTTGATAGACCTGTTTCCTCCCTTCATGTGACATTTTACCCAGCAGCCAAACAAATCTCATCTTCTCTTCTTCTTTTCTCCAAGAACTTGAGAGGTGCTCCAGAAACCAGTCTGGTTCTCTGGCTTCAGCTGTGAAGTCTTACAGTACCTGCACRTGTGTAACAATCCCATCTGTCCTTCCCTCAAAACAGCCAGCAGCCACCATCTTTCCCTGTTGTCTTGGAGCTGTAAAGGATTGGATSTGGGGAAAGGAGAGAGCACCCCTATGCACCTTTCCCAATGTTGCTGCAAGCCTAGAGCATGGGCACTCCTGTTTAGCAAGAATGGATTTATGGTGTCAGAAACAATAAATTATTTTTGCGCTGCTTATCCTGGAATAGGGTGGACCTGATGACTCATTTGGTTTCCCAGTGCTGAGACAGACCTGCACCTTCCCTGCTGGAAAAGGAACTCTGTTGTCAATGTGGCACAATACGAGCACTGCCAAGGACTGCTTCACTGCCCTGAAGGACCCCAGCCTGCAAATAGCAGGCTCATTTTAAATGAGAGAGCAGCCAGAGAAGTCAAAGAGAATTTTGTTCACGTAATATCCTCAGTCTTTACTGAAATAAATGAACCTATCTATGACAAAGAACAAACCTGAAGAGCAAGGAACAGTGGAATCCCAAGACCTGAAGCTGTTCAGTGTCTGTCATGTTAGGATCTCAGAGTGCAGACTAAATGGGCTGTGATTGTTGTCTGCTGCAACACCTCCATGTTGCTCTATGGAGGGCTTCCATTAATAATGCCTGGTTGCACCCATAATGTCTGCTATACAAAATCAGCATTTCATTTCAAGAAAATTTAAATATTGTCTGGAAAGAGCATCTACCACAGACCTAGTCATTTAATCCAGTGGTTAATTACAGCAAATGTCAACGTGTTACTTCTCATCTTGATGCTCTTTATCCCCCATCTATTCTTTCTCGTTGCACCTGTTTGTCAGGTAGTTATGGACAGAATCAACTCTTGTCTTTYTTGAAAGACTGAATGGCTCCCACCCAGCCATTTTACAGCCAAGTTTCCCTTTGCTCCTTCTCACTTGTCTCCATATCTTCCTGCTGCTCACATGAGCTTTTTGTGTCATCTTGCTCCAATTTATCAGTGCTCACTTCCTGTGTAATTACCAGTCAGTATCAGTGCTACTGCACACAGAAACTGGCCATACAGCCTCCTGCTGCTGGTGCCTATGGGTAGACTTCCCTGAGCTTTTGTGAACCATATGAACCCTGCACCGAGAATCCTGCTGAGCAGCTGAAATCACTCTGACTCAGCTGACATAATGATTAATGACTCAGCTCTTGAGTGTGTTGTATTTTGGTCCTACCCATCACTTGTAGAGACTTAATGAGAGAGAAACAGTAYAGGGCCAAGAACTCATCCCCTGTGAAGATCATGAGAAATTCTCCTGTGTCAGAAGTAGAAAGAGTTGTCTGAGTTTGCTGAAGTGACCTCTGCTTCATCCAYAGGAGTCTTCATTTACTGTGGTCTGCTGGCATATAATTTTCTGCACCCTGAAGAATTTCACTCAGTGTCACTGATCACAAAACACACMGCCCGACTGCAGAGTATACTGCAAGCCAGTCCACCAGGACCCCTGAACCTTAATGTATAGTTGATTAACTCTTGTGATCTCCTTTCCATTCAAAATCTAGGCTCATGTACTTAGTTTTTGTGGGAAAAGAAGGCAACTGAAACCATGTAATTAACAAGGTGGTCTCAGTCCTTTCAAATCTAGCCTAATGCTCACATTTCCAACCCTCATCTATACCTTCTGGAACTGTTTCAGTTTGTTAGTTCATGGAAACAGCTGACTAGTTTGTAAGCAGTCCCCTGCAATGCCCAGTTGCATTTTAGCCCAAGAGAACAGATGTAATCCATCCCCTTGGAAACTGTTGTTTAATTGTTTCTGTGTACTCAGAAGCAGGTAACATTTCACCAGCATCATAAGCRAGTACTTTGCCAAGCACAGAGGAGAAATGCTGCAGTTGTGTGCTATAGCACTATCRATGATGCCTCAGCAGCATTATAAAACAAAGCTGGAAGGCACCTCTTGGGATCATCCCATCTCACCCCCCTCCCAACCAGGGTTGGCTAGACCAAGTTAACCAGGTTTATGTTGAGTCAGCTTTTGATTATCTCCAAGTATGGATATGTGGCAGCTTATCTGAGTGTCTCGTTTTAGTGCTGAACAGCTATCACAGTAAAGAAATTTATATTCAGATAGAGCTTCCTGTGTTRCATTTTATACAACACTGAGAAAAATTTGGTTCCATTTTTATAATTGTTGATCAAGGTTCTTTTCTCCAGGCTAATCAGCCCTAGCTGTCCCAGCCTCCTTAGGTATGAGAGATGTTCCAGACCTTTGTGTCTTTGGCCGCTGACGGGACTTGCTCCACCAACTCAATACCTTGTATTGAGGAACACAGTATTGGACTTGGCATTCTGTATGTTTCTTACCAGGGCTTAGTAGAGGAGGAGGATTGCGATCTTCCACCTGCTTCTCCTGATGCAACCCAGCATGCTGTTGGACACCTTTCTGCAAGAATGCATTGCTTCTTGTGGTCAACTTACAGTCCACCAGGACCCCATGTCCATCTCTGCAAAATTGCTTTCCAGCAACTTCTCCAGGCTGATCAGTCCCAACTCTTAGTGTATCTTCACATGTCAGAAGCTCCAGTCCTCTAATCATCTTTTCTCCTTCYTTCTCTCCCTCACACTGGGAACCTGAGGACTGCACATAGTACTCCAGATGTGGACTTGCTAGTGCTGAGTAGTGGTTAAAGAGCAGCTCCTGCTGACAACATTGCTTAATGCTGAGCCCAGGATTCTGGCAGCCTTCTTTATCAAAAGACTGTTGCTGGCTCATGGTCAAGTTGGTATCCATGAGGACCTCCAACCAGCTCCTCCTCTGGTACTTCTGTGCAGAGCGACTTTCCCCTCAAYGGGTACTGATGGATGAGTTACTATTCTTCCCTAGGTGCAGCATATTATGTCTCCTTTAGCTGAATTTCACAAGGATCCCCTCAGTCTGTAGCAGTGCCTCTGAATGGCAGCATGGCCATCTCTTCTCCTCCRTGTGTCACACCACCTGCAAACTAGCGGTGGGTGCACTCTGTCCTATCATCCAGGTAAACTGTGTGGCCCCAGTATCACCCGCTGGGGTGCATCACTGATGATTGGCCTCCAGCTGGTCTTCATGTGAGTGATGACAATCCTCTAGGCTCAGCCATTCAGCTGCATTTGAGTTCACCTCACTGTCCCCTTGTCTAGCCAATACTTAACTTGTTTGCAAGGTTGTTATGGGAGCAATGTCCATTATTGTTTCCTCATCCATCCAGCAGTCATTTCACTGTATAAAAGCTGCCAGTTTAGTTAAGCATTTTTCCTTTTCACCTTGTTGCCCTTCATGTGCCTGGAAATGGTAGGAAGGATTGATTGTTCCATGATCGTCCCAGGGAACCAAGACTGAAAGGCCTGGAGTTCCCTGGATTCTCCTTGTTCTTCTTGAAGATGGGAGTGACATTTGCTCTCTTCCAGTCCTCAGGAGCCTCTTTGAATTGCTGTGACCCTTTAAAGGTAATCAAGAATGGCCTTGAMGTTGAAACAATCTGTTGCTTCAGCACTAATGCATCCCATCAATCCCAGGGATTTGTGTGTATCTGGGCTATTTAATGTTCTCCAAGCTAGTCTTCCTCCACTGAGGATAAATCTTCAAYACTCCAAACTTTACCTGTGGTTTCAGGTCTGAAGGTCAGTCTTACCAATCACAAAAGAGGTGAAAAAGGCATTGGATACCTTGATGTTTTTTGCATCCTTTTTCACCAAATCTCCTGCCCCACCTAGCARCAGGCCCACATTTTCTCTAACTTTCCTTTTGCTGCTGAAGTACTTAAAGGTGCCTTTCTCATTGCCCTACACCAAACTCAGTTCCTGGCTGGCTTTGGCTCTCTTAACCCTATCCCTGCACACTCACAGAAAAGAAACTTTACTCGTTTGACTACTTGCAGAACATTGCCTTATTGTTAAAAAATTGTCTCCTGCAATTTTGGATGTTCCCAATCTGAGTCCCAGGAGTRCTGCTTCACACACTGCTCAGCTCCAGCCCCAAAATAATGCAACTACCTCCTCCAGCAAAAAATGTGCAAGATTCTCTGCTTCCATGTGSTTTTTGTAGTTGGTAGCAGAGATCAACTTGTATAATTGCTTGGGCTTTACAGCTGAAGTATAAAGGCTTGAGATATCTCAGGAATGACCTAATGTCACTTTAGAGAGCTATCATGCTGTTCCTAGCCTTTTGCCAAAGTAATTGTATCCTGGTGACCAGCATAAAGAGCATTGCCAGCAGCTTGAGAGAGGTCCCCTGTCCACATCTGAAGAGCTGTGTCTGGTTGTAGGTTCCTGTATATAAGAAGGATATGGACGTATAAGTGTAAGTGCAGTTAAGAGCCACTAAGACCACTGAGGGAAAGCAGGGTCTGTCATGGCAGCAGAGGCTAAGAGAGCTATGGCTGTTCATCCTTCAGCAGGGGAATCCTGTACACAGTGTATACAGGCCTAATGGCAGAGGGAAATACAGAAGGAAAAACACCTATGTAACTCCTGCTGCATAACACCAGGACAGATGACACGGATTCACCCATCTTAATTCTGTCCCTTCAGCCTGACATTTACTGAGGCAGCCTTGTGTGGGTGAGGGCATTGTAGTCCATAGCTGAAAAACAGTTTACAGGAGTTAGGAGTTGTAGGGAGATGGTTTTAGAGAATAGGCATCATGGAGGTGAGACCACAGATACGACAACAGTAAAACCACGCAGTCAGCTTCTTCAAATGTTCCCCTTCTGGTTCTCCCTATAAATGCCTTGTTTTGTCCTTACTCATTACACTGCTGCATACTGCAGCTGTGGTGCTAGCAGCAGTAGGAGTGGATACATGATTGTGACTGCTTGCATGAAAAAAATGTTTCTCTTTTATTTCCTTCCAGCCAATCCCTTGGGCATTCTCATAGCAAACGTGTTGTCACCTGCACTAGTTCCTGAAGGAAAACACATTCCATTGATGGTAAGTGAAAACTGCTTAAATCAGTCAGCTGGGCTGATTTGGGTCTAGCAGATTTATTTGTTTGGAGGTAGTGGAGCTGGAAAGACTGGTAACTTGTCTTGTCCTTTTGTTGTGTAGCTGGGTATTTATGCTGCCCCAGCAGTAACAGCCTGTGCTCTAGCAACTCTGGGGATTCGTGAGAAGGTCCCGCCAACACCTCCGTCAGCCAGTGCCACTAACTCCAACTCACAGCCATTCTTCACGGGGCTCAAAATGGTAAGTGTGATAGCACAGGGTCTGCCAATGCTGGAGTGAGGCATGCAGCCCTACAAGACAGGGATATGCTGAAGTATCTACTTACGAAGCAGTCTCTGAAAACCACTCCCCCAAACTGGCCATGCAAAGCCCCTTGAAGGAGATCAAGATCCCTTGTTTACTCAGGGAGTGAGGGCTGCTCACAGCAAAGTTGCAAGAGATGATGTCTGACCATTTATTTGTGGGCTGGCTGCCATTCAGATATTTCAAACAGGCACACCTGGGCTTATCCAAGAGAAGCACACAACCTGAGCCTTCTGAACAGATGTGGTAACAGGTAGGACAGCACATGGCAAAGCGAAGGAAGAATCTGAGCAGTGAAGAGTTCCTTCCTCCCTACATGGGTCCCCATTGTAACTTGTCCTCTGGCTGAACTGACAGGACAAAGCTATACTGTGTCAATGATCATGGAGTTACCTTGTTAGTATTTTTAACTGAGGAGTCAGAATTGCTGACTCACAAGTCTGCTGTCACAGCCAGGTCTTTTTCCTTTCCCTCCTGTTATTTACATTACCTCTTTCTTTCAGCTCCTGAGAAACAAGCCGTACATCATCCTAGCAGTGTGCTTTGGAGGAGGAATTGGGATGTTCACTTGCTTTTCAGCTCTGCTAGAACAGATCCTTTGTGAAAAGGGATATTCAAATGTGAGTCTTCTTCCTTTTCTCCCCATTGTCCTTATCATCTATGATACATTCAAATTGATTTTCCCTCGTAAAAGACCCAGAGCAAAATGAAGAAAATTGAATAGGCTGCAGTTTCATATCTTATTTGCTCATGTTATTTAATACAAATTAAGCAGTGCATTAATCCAGAACACTGTCAATCTCTTAGTATAATGGATGACCTGCATTTTCATTACTGCCCATGGCCAGGCTCCCATTTGCAAATGAAAAAAAATTAGGAAAAAAGAATATGATTTTTATATGCCACTCCAAAGCACTGATATCTATGCAGCCTTCTGTCACCTCCTCCAGAGGAGAATGGGGTCCAGGCAGGCCCTTGAGTGAAGCTCAAGGCAGGCTGATGCAAGCACCTTTTCCTCTTTGCACTGATTTGCATGAAGCCAGGGCAGCAGAGGAGGTCAGTGGTACTGTGACAGCTGTCTCCCCATCCTTCCCATGACASCAGCCAGGTGTTCAGCACAGTATGTGCACAGCTGGTTCCTCCTGCTCTGTCCCTCCTGCTTATTAGAAGAGCCCCCCCAGTTCATGTGTTTCCCCTCAGCTGGCTGCACTTCAGTCCTGCTGCTTGTATCGCCATGGGGGTTCTCTTAAAACACCTCTCCAGCTGTTACATATGCACATTTACRTGTCTGGTCTCTGTCCACCCCCTCTTCAGCTCCCGGGTCTGATATCTGGCCCAGGGCTCCATAACCAGGTCACATTTTGCACACTCCATTGGCTTTTAACTGGAAACCTTTTACATTTTGAAGTCTTGCTTTCTGTGTATCATGATTTTGTCTGTGTGACTGGCCTGTCCTGGCCCTTTAGCCCAGACAAGCTATTCCATATACCCTTTCCTTCCAGTGCCCCTGAGGGTCCCAAAAATGTTTACCCAAATTTGTTAAAAGCTTCTCTGCCTTCATGATTGCTGTCCGCATTTGAATTCTTATAGAGCTGAAGAAGTGCTACAAGCAAAGGGCAGTCACTGCAGGCACAGAGCATGTACCCTGTTGTAGCCACTGCTCACTGCCTCTCTAGTTAGACTTTGACACAGCCAGGCARTGTCTCCTCTCACATGTTTTGGCTGTGCCAGTGCAGGTGCCTGGTAAGAAAAGAGCCAGGAGCATGATTATAAACAKCAGCAGTCCCAAGACAGTTGCTCCTGTTGGCACCAGTGTGGACAAACCCGATTGCCCTGGGAAAAGCTCAGAGGCTCCAGGCTGGAATTTTTAATGCCAGGCAGGCAGCTGATATTGCTCTGCATCCAGCCTCCCTTGAGAGGTGTGCAGAGAGAGACTTGTCATCCTTTGGGACTACCGTCACCCTGCTGTTCCCACACACTTGTAGAAGCATCTGGACTCTGTTATTTGCTGCTCAGAGCCCTGTGAAGGCTTCAGCTGCTACAATAGGCAAAGAGGCTTTTCCTATCTCAGTAAGTGAACCACTGGTAGCTGGCAGATGGGTCAGTGACATGAAAACCTCTTTCCTAACTGCTCTAGTTTCTCGTTACATATTCTTCTGCCCTCCAGGATTTTGCTGGCCTGAATGGTGCACTGTTCACAGTGTGTGGATTGTTGGGTGCTTTCCTGCTAGGCATGTATGTCGACCGGACAAGGAAGTTCATAGAGTCCACCAAGATTAGTTTCTGTCTAAGTGCACTTGCCAGCATCATGTTCGCAGTGGTGAGTTCTGCTTTGCATTGTGCCATTCCCATGGGCTTATTTCTGTTGCCATCAGATAAATCAACTTTAACCAAGATCATTTAGTGTTTATTAAGCCATGTGTTATGCTTTGGGATTATCTCTCTGGGCTAGGAATGTTTTAAAGGAAAGCCCTGTGCTGCGGATTTGAGAGTGAAGCGCCATTTCATTGTGGAGCCTGAGACAGACTGTTTTGGAGTATAGATAAATAGGCATTATTTTACTTCTCCATAGTGGATCATGTTTTCTTACTCCTGAGACCCTTCTTTTGAAAAAAGAAAGGGAATTGCTAAGTATTTATGTCTAAAAATTTTAAAAGAATGTCCCTGTTTTCCCAACACCTGCCTTTAACAGTGGAGGGTGTCAGGGTTATAACATTAGCAGGAAGGACCTAGTTATACTCTAGTTGTGAAGTAGAACTTTGAGGGGGTCAAGAGAGGCAGAAAAGGAAAACACTTGAATTCAGCCAGGAGAGGGATGCACAGCTCAGAGGCTTTACACCTATGAGGCCAGAGTACAAGTACTGTACTGAAGCATAGCCATTGCCAATGCATCACACAGCAGGAATCTGACCATGAAACCCAGGACTCCCAGCATTACAGAGGACTGAGAGTGGTGCAGGTTTCTCCTTTGCGAGCAGTCTTACGCTGTGGATTTCTCTTGTGTGCCAAAAAATCCAGGCTTTAACTAGAGGGTGATCACACCCTTCCTGGGGYCAAGATCCCAGTGATGGTAGCACCATTTGGAAGAGACAGACAATGCAATGCCCTCGTCCATGTAGGACAAGTTACCTAAAGCAGACATTGCATTTTCCCCTTTCATACTCGTTTTAAGGCATTTGTTTTGAGGATGATGTGAATACAAGTTAGTTTGCCTGGACTCAGGTAAGGCACTGAGTAGGCAAGAGGCTGTATCCTTCGTCCCATACAGATGAACCATTTGTTCAAAGTAGTAGAACAAAAAAGACCCATTCAAATCTGATCTGTTTGCGCTTTGAACTCAGATTCCAGACACACAGAGTTTTCCTTGACTTAACGAGTTTAGCTGGGCCAGGTCTGCTGCCATGCCAGCACAGACACCTCATGTTCCTCTGTGGGAGTTTATTACATGGTTAAGGAAGGAGGTACCAGCAGTGTGGCTGCAAAGTACTTTATCTTTACTAACATGGGTTGGACAAGGAATGCTATTTTCTCCAGAGTTAGGGACAAACTTATCTCCCTAACTAATCCAGGGTTTGTAAATGTTTCAGGTGKTTTTTTGTTTGCTTTTTAGTTTGGGTGTTTTGGGTGTGTGTTTTCGTCTTTTGGTGTTAAAATCCCAGTGCTACAAATGTGTGTCTGGCTAATTTTCCTTATCATTGAGCTGCAGCAAATCATAATTCTCACACATAACCCAGTGCAAAAACCATTTACAAAATGTTACTTTGCATTGGGAGAAGGTGTGCGTTTCCCTGGGTCATAGAGAGATGCTGAACACACTCCTGAAAAGTTACTGACCAGACAAGTTACAGTAGTACAGCCACACCAGTGCTTTACAGATAATCCTTCTGATCTTCTTCTTGCTTCAATTCAACAGATAGCTCTCCATTTTGTAGCCTTTTGTTAACTCTAGAAGGTTGGAGGTAAAAAATTGAATTCAGGTAGAGAATAYAGTGGTGGGAATAATCACCCCTTGGGACTTCCTGCAGGTTAAGGGTTCAGAGACTTTCTGCAGAGCAGTGCTGACATTAATACTTTGGTATCCTTTCTTTGCCTGCAGACTTCTCGGTTCAGAAATCAGGCCATTATGTTGGCCACTGCCAGCTCGCTCTTTGGTTTCTTTGGTTTTGCTATCTACCCCATTGCCATGGAGCTGGCTGTGGAGTGCTCCTACCCTGTAGGAGAGGGAACATCTACAGGCCTGATTTTTGTTGCAAGGTAAGCAGGCAGGTTAAATTCAATTGCCAGCTGAGCTTGGGTTCCAGCACTCACACACATGCACAGAGGGGTATGGGTGCAGATAAAGAAGAGCATGGACATAAGTGCTTGCTGTCCTGTATAATGTCTCTGGTGTCTGTGCACATGCCTGTGGAAAGCGGTGAGCTGGCTGGCYGAGCCATAGAGCACTAGACCTAAATGTTTTAAAACAAGGACTGTGTGGGAGAGGTGCAGGAAAAGCAAGAAGGAAGATTGGCACAAAGCATGRTTTAACCATGCCCAGCACCCCCTGCCTTTGAAGTAGATGGGGGCTACATGCCTGGGAGAGACATGGCCCTATGCCATTGCCACAACAGTACAGGCACAAGTCAGTTCTTGGCGCTCTGCTGAGGGAGATGGGGCTCATGAGTCACAACAGATAGGACAGTGACTGTCCTTCCTCTTACCAATTTACCTGACTAGGGCTGGCTCTGGACTTAAGCAGGAATGACTTGTTGGACATGACAGAAGTGATGTGGTGCCATGTGTTTRTGTCAGGTGAAGCTGCAGCCACAAGAAATATCATTCAATGAGGGGCATCAGACACTGCCTTTGTTTGAAGTGTCTGGTTGTGGACTTAGTGACTGCCATCAGACAGCTGTGAATGAGAAAGAGGCTGAAGCATGGCCTGACTTTTTTGCATGTTCAGTCCTGCAGTGAGAGGTGTTTCCAAGTCTCTGCCCAGTGAAAATGCCTCAGCTTTCTGACAGGTGTAGTTCAAAACCTGCTTGCTTTCAGAGGGAGTATATAGTGATCCTGGCACACTGGCTCTGTGTTTGGAGTTGATGTGGACACTTTGTGGGCCAGAGCCAGTTAACCAAATGCCTGGGCTGGAGGAATCCAGCAGTAGCTTGCTCTGCTAGAAGGACCATGCTCTGGAAAGAGGCATATTCTCTTCCAGCTGGGGAAGGTGGCCTTGCCTGCAGCATTGGTAACTGAGGCAGGTAACTGCATGTTGGCTTTTCCCCACAGCCAGATTGAAGGTGCGATTTTGATGATTCTTCTACAAGCCCTCACTGTCCATATTTCTGAGGATCCATTCTCCACCTGTGCCCTTGACCAGGATGGAGCCCTGGATTGGACAAGTAAGTATGTCCTTAGGAAATTATGCTGGACACTCCATGTACTCCCCACTCTCCTCCAGGGTCACTGTGAGACACCCTGCCAGTCTGATTCCTATTGTAGTGTGCATTCTAACCACCTTTCTGAACCTGATGGTGCACTCCTTGCTGCTCCCGCTCAACCAATCCTGCAAGACTTGAATTTAATCCAGCTAGAAAGCAGCTGTTCTGAGGGGAAAATGCTGTCCATGTAACATAACCAGGCTGTTCTTCACATCAGAGACCAAGGTTAGAAATGCTTTGACTGAAAGCTACCTCCCCTTGCTTCTGCACACACAGCTGCCTGTGTTTGTAACATACAGGTACAGGTTCGTTCTGACTTATTCCAGGCTTCCCATCCATTCTTAGCTGCCCAGGAGAAGAGACAACAACTGAGATGAAGAGGAGCACATAAGTGTTTTGAAAGCAGGCTACACCCTAGTCTTGATCTCTCACCTTGTTCATGTTTATGTTAAACTGACACCTGGGGACCCTGTAAGCAAAAACTGACCATCACCTATTAAATATACTGTGGTTGGCTGAGAAGAAACTCCCCAGAACAAGCTCCTCTAGGTGTAGGGGATCAAGGCTTCATAATAGCTGTCCCCAAAAAGTAATATGACTGCTTCATCTCTGAAAGCCTGCAACTTGCCATTTAATCAGGTCAGAGCTGAATCTTGGGATTAGATACCCATTCCTGTTCCTTTTGTGATCTGATACATACAGGAATACCTGTGAACAAAGGATGGGGATGTTTATTTGAGACACCAGTGAAATGAGATGTATTTCCAGGCTTTGTTGCATAGTCTTTTAGATATACTTTTAGTCTTTTAGATAAACTCTTTCTTTAAACACATATTTGTCATTAATAAAATAATAATAATTCATGTTTAGTGAGCTTTTTCTACACTTTGCTCTCAGATGATAAAACAAGAGGATGTGTTCTCTTATGGAGCTCACGTGATTTGATTCAATAATTTTGTAACTTTTTTCACCACACCCCAAGGCACAAATGTGTATACTTACAGAGAAACACACACTCCCACAAGCATGCTGTGTGCACTGGTGACTTCCAGCGTGTACGGTCATGCAGGACATGGTGTCTTGGAAACCTTCCACATTGCACCTAAATACTCTTCCTGTGCCACGGTGAAGCAAGGTTTGTCTGTTACCAAACTGGTAATGCCTCACTGTGGCGTGCACCCTGTCCTTGGGGGTATCCCTCAGGAGGAGATGAGACAGAATGCCATTTTGGGGAGCTGACCTGTAGACTTGTACATCCATGGGGAGTTTTGGATTCACTGCCTAAAAGTGCATCTTTCTCACAGCTCCGGTACTGGTACTGGCTGGCCTCTCCAGTGGTTTGGCTTGTTTCTATGTCATCTTCTTCCACACTGACTACAAGCGGCTCCATGCTGAGACATTCAATGCTGATTTGGTCAAGGCAGAAGATAGAGCAACAGAAGATGTTCCTGAAGCCTAAACAGGCCAAGAAGGAGATGCCAAGGGCCAAGGACTGAGACTTGTGCACATGGACTAATCTTGGGAGCTGGTACACTGGAATATCTGTGCCCTGTTGCACAAGCAAGAACTAGAGGATTGGGCACCTTTGTGTGCATTCCTCAGTCTTGTGTTTATTTGGGGATCTGGGCTGTGAGAAAGGCTGTCCTGTCAGAAAGGTCAAAGTAGTTATGGACAACTATACACATAACTGAAATTTTTAGCTGACTTGATTCAAGATAAAGAAATGTTGTTGTGGAGGATAGCATCATATTTCAGCCATTTTTTTTATTTTCATGTACATGGATCAAGGGTGAAGGTTTCAAAAGGATAGAAGTTGTGCCTACCACAAATCCAGTGGAAAATTTCTATTTAAGGACAGGTTCTTGTACAGTGTAACAACTCCACTCAGGTTGGAGCTTATTGTGCTTCTTAGCTAAAGGGCAGTAGAAGCTAGAGCATCCTTCCATTCCAACGGGGATATGTAAGTATTTGATCTGTGATACAAGTCTGTTACAATAAGCCACTTTGTCCTCTCCTACAAGAAAAGAAAAACCTTGCTTTTAATGGTGCCTATAAAAGAAAATATCAGTAAGCAGCAGAAGTTAAACACAGCAGCATTTCTCACCCCTCTGGTTCCCTGCTGAAACATTCAAGATAAGCTTGTCTCGCTTGGGATTCTGTTTCTCCACCTCTGTTGCAATTTCAGTGGTTTTAAGTTTTCCACAAGATGAACCTGCTGGTTTAATATTAGGCTAGTGTGATGCTCTCCTATATAGGAGCACTGAGAGGGCAGCTCACTTTTTGAGCAATGACACCATGGTGCCTGGCATGATGGAAGCTGGCAGAAAAAACTGGCAAAGGTGACCACTTAGTGCCGGGACTTGTCATAAATTTCTGCAGGTGACAGGGGCTTTGAGGGGAAACCATGTAAAAAACAACATCAACTAACAATTTCCAGTTCTTCCTGCAGCTGATATCTGTTCTTTAGTGTTAGAGGAGATGGAAAGTGACACAAAAGATCCCATTTGAGGTTGAGTTACACCAACAATTATAATGGGTGCAACTGGATTTTTCACTTTACAGTACTTCCACGGTAGTGTGGTGTCCTGCTTTGATACTCAGAACAACAACCTGATAATTTTTTTACTTGATAACACTTGAGTGGTTAAAAAAAATTAGATAGTTGGTATTTTGTGATGCTTTGTATCATACATATTTCAAGGGAATTTAAGTACCTGCTCATTAAGGGACCTTGATGCAAACTGGACCTGTGGCTAGCTTTATCTAGTCCATCTAGACGATTACTTCATTGCACTTTTCCTGAGGAACACTSTATAAAGGAGCTCTCTCAGTGCCTGAATTCTTTTCCCCATTAAGCAGTTGGAAAGCTCTCCCATTGTAAAACATCTGTCTGCATCTTTCTAGAGAGCCTGCTTGTTCCTACAGCTCCAGTCTTGCTCTCATTAATAAGCACTGATATTTGTCWAAAGGAGCAGGAAAGAAGTCTGAAACCAAAGTGAAACAAGATTGTTTAAACCTGCCAGAGGAATGAGATTAGCTGTCTTTTGCCAAACTGGTCAGTTCTGCAACCCTGGAACTAACACACTAAACAGATTAACACCAAATTTACTTGCCACTTGTGAGTTTCACTGTACTGAGAAGCACTTGATACTTTATAATTTTATATATTTACAAATGTTTATGTTTTTTAATAAAGGGTGGTTTTAAAAAAGATCAACCTTTTCTCACTGTATCAATCTTTTAAAAAGTGTTTTATAGATGCAAGGGTGAATCAGATCTGCTATGCAGCACAAAGCAAAGGCCCCTATATTTGCCAGATGTCGTGAACTTGTTTTTAAGCTGACAATTCGTAAAGTATTATCTCAGATTCTTAAAATGACCACATGAAATTAGCTGTAGTTTAAACTACAGTTAGCTGTGTTTTGAAGAATAGGTTAAAGGTGTAAGGAAATACTGTTCTCAATTGTCTCCAAAACCTGCTGTTGCCCTAGTCATAGACTCTGCTTTGCACCAGCTGAGACAGTATTATCTTTATCTAAGCATATAACAGATTCTGGAAAGAGGATATTTTTCTCTCTACTAGTGCATGAGACATACAGGTGTGTGAGGTTCTGTCTGGATTCCTAGYGTGTAGTGGAGCAAGTTGCACCTTGCTATATGGTTTGCCATACCCTGGCAGCATGCCATAAAAGTATGATGGCATTGCCAACAGTGAAGCCAGGCAGCTCATGCAGGTACCTACTTAGCACCATCAGTTGCTCCTCTTGGCTCAGCTAACTTCACATTTCATGTTTAGAACAAAAGAGGCTCAAATGTCCATGCTAGTCTGTAATTACCACCATAGCTGAAGTAGGCTTTCTGCTGTATATTCTTCTTTCCCACACTGTGTAATTCATCTGTYACTCACAGCTCACTTTTAGATGTGCCATTCCCTGGAAAGCCTATGGAAAATGTGAAACTGAAATCTTAGAAGAAAAGAGGGATTTTGGTGTTAAGGCATGGGCCAGGTATACTGGGGACCATGCTAAAGGAGTGGTCTGTCTGCCTTAAGCTTTCTGTGACCCCAGCAGAGACCTCTACAATTAGGTCTGTAGGGATCACTGGAAAACTGCAGAAAGTCTCCTGCAGAGGTGAATGGTCCTGACTGGTSTGGTCTCACTAGAGCCTTTCTGTTTTTGTGAGGTCAGAGGAGAAGGACATAAAGGTCAGGCTACTGGTCCCATCACAGCAGTGGATCAGAGAGCTCTCTGAAACAGGCAGGACTACACACTCTKGCTGTGCCTGCAATCTGAGGTCTGCAATGCAGCTGCTTCCTACAGCAGTTTGTCTGGTGAGGGCAGCAGACACCACCAGAGTAGATCGGGCAGATCTYAGATTGCAGGAAGAGACACATTTTTTCCTGCAGACCTGCCTGCAAAATGTCTGTACCTCCTGCACCCGGTGACTGAGCTGAAGAAGGTGATGAGAAGGCTGCATAACATCAGGAGAATGAGAATGTGTTGGATAACTGTTCCAAGCACAGCCTGCAGTGGCCCCACAAGCTGACAACTAGTCAAAACTCCCTCACTGGCACATGCAGAAGGGAAGGAGCTAATGTAGAAGAATGGAGGCTTGCAACAGCAGGGACCAGCAGGAGGAAGAGACTTCCCTGAAGCCTGAAGTTCCCTTGCATAACCACTTTGTTGCTCTGCTGAGTGAAGAGGAAAGACCTGTCACATCATGAGAGGCACTGGTGCTGAGTAAGGCAGCTCCATCTGCTCCCTTCGTACAACCAATAAGGCAGTCCCATCTGCTCCTGAATCACAACTAAGCACAACTAAGATAAGGCAACAGGTTATAGCAGTAGGTGACTCTTCTGAGAGGTTCAGACCTACCCATTTGATGAACTGACACGCTCTTTATAGAGGTGCTGCTTTTTGGGGAGTCATAGCAGGGACCTCACTGACACAGTACTGAGCCTCATACAGTTCACTGACGATTACAYACTGTTCTTTCATCAATCCTCCCCTCAAAGGGAAGATATTTGAAAGGGCTGCTCAGAACTGCCAAATCAACAATTGGTTGCAGGGCTGGTACCACAGTCATGGTTTCAGCCTCTTGGACCACGTGACTCACCTTGAGAAACTGGGCACACTGGGGGCTGGTGGGTCCATCTGTCTGAAAAAGGAAAGAGCATCTTCAGCCACAGTCTTGCCAGGCTGGTAAAGAGGGCTTTAAACTCGAGGTATGGGGAGATGGAAGTATCACTCTGTCTTAGTCCTGCTAGTTTGATGGCAAGTCAGCAAGAAATGCCTAGAGTTTGGAGTGGGTCACAAGGAGAATATGTGAAAAATCGCCAAGGAATTCCTGACATTCCTGCCAGTAAGTTGGCTTCATCAGGAACTGAACTGAAATGCCTTTGTGTAAACACACATAGCATGGGAAATGAAAGAGATGAGTTAGAGACCGACTAACAGGCATCATAAGAGTGGTGGTGGGATGGCTCCTACCACTGCAGCATTGGAATGGAAGGTTACAGCCTCTTTAGGTAGGCAGGAGAGACAAGGAAAGCRCATTGCCCTCTGTGCTGAGGACAGGCTGAAGTGGAGCTGTGCCTGACCAAGAAGACTGAGTGTTGTGGGTTAAGATTTTCCCCCTTTTGTTCCCTTTCTTTGGGAATTTTTTCTTTCCCATTTGTTGCTGGGATACACTAATTGCCAGGTCATCCTCTTGATGGCTGGGTGATTAACGAAGACAATGATACCTATGCCCCACCTAAACGGTCTTGCCAAGCGCTCGAGAGAGTATTTTTGTGTGGTGGTGGGGGGGGGAGGGGGTGATTTCACTTGCTTGGCTGCTTCCCTGAGAGAAGGAGGTCTGCCTGCTGGCTGCTCTGGAGAAAGCTGGCCTGCTTTTTTTCTGCGGAGACCAGCATCTCTATTCATTGAGTTCCTGCTTGCTGCCACAGTGGATTTCTCTCCTGTGCCTTGCCGGGGATTCCAGCTTCAGGGGTGAGCTGTGCTCCATCCCGTCGCGCAGCTGTGGGATTCTGCTCGTCTCTTTGCCGTCCTGGGTTTCTTACTGTCCAGAGGAGCACCGAGATCAGCGTTTCCGCTGTGAGTTTTGCAGAGAAACTCTTCTCCATCCACCTCTGCCATTTTGTGTCCACCATTGGCCACGTGGGAGATCTGAGCCAGCCGGGACCCCCGGCACAGCGCCCCCTGCAGCCACCGGGGAATCATCACTGCACCYRCCCTGCCCAGCCGGGAGCCAACAGCGCCCCTGCCGACTGGGACTGTAACTGCACCAAAGRGGAGGGTGTATTTCTGTAAGGCTGTCACTGGGTTTGGGACTGGGCTGGTTGTTGCTATTGTTATTGTTACTTGTTTCACCTTGTTATACATATTAGTAAAAACTGTTATTCCCTTTTACTCATATTCTTGCCTGAAAGCCCATGATTTTTTCAAAGCTATAATAATTCAGAGGGAAGGGGGGTCATATCCACCACTCCAAGGGGGGTCCCTGCCTTCATTAGCAAACACCTGTCTTTCAAACCAAGACACTGAGCRAATGAGTGCCTCTATAGACAGAGAGAAGMAGCCTCACATTCACCAGCCAGGTCCCCAGKGGGYTGGAACCATCCCAAAAGCTGCTCAAGGGACAGCACACAGGGCATAAGCAACCTKTGAGGTTTCTGGAACATGATGGTAACRTCCTTCTCCACATGATAGGGAAGCCAATAAGGAGAGGTGCTATGTGGGACCTTGTTCTCACCAACAGCAGAGGCTGCTGGGGAATGTGAAGCCCAAGGGCAGCCTGGGCTGCAGTGACCATGAAATGSTGGAGTTTGAGATCCTCAGGGCAATGAGAAAGGCACACAGCAAGCTTACTACCTTGGATTTCAGGAGAGCRGAATATGACCTCTTCAGGGGTACTGAGGGATAAAGTCCTGGAGAGGAGAAGACCAGGAAAGCTGGCTGATATTCAAGYATCACCTCCTCCAAGCTCAGGAGCAATGCATGCCAGCAAGGAGGAAGTCAGGCAAAAAATGCCAGGAAGCCTGCGTGGATGAATAAGGAACCCCTGGACAAATTCAAACACAACGATGAAACACACAGAGGATAGASGCAAGCACAGGTAGTTTGGGAGAAGTGCAGAGATTATCCAGATCCACAGGGATCAAGTTAGGAAAAGCTAAAGTCCTCATAGCAATCAATCTGGACAGGGACAACACGGGCAACAAGAAAAGGTTTTATCGGCACACCATATAGGTCATGTAGCTAGTCTGGCACTGTCAAATAACAATTGCTTTGGCATTGGCAAAGGTATGGTGACAAACCTGTTGCTGGGGATGKTCCTGATGTGAGATGGAGGCTGGACTGATAATGTCCTGCCAGCAGCACAGCTGAGAATCTACATKCAGTTGAAGAAAACAAGTGTTTGGCTGACTTACTGTTTGTACCTCAAATCCTTTTTTAGTAACTCAGGTGCCATGGGACCCAGACTTCTAGGATCACTTTTTACATTTCCAAATGATGCCAAGCAGTTAAAACAGATAACATGCCAYATATTCTGTGAAGAAAATCTAACTGGGCATGCCCATCATCAGGTATGAAACTTTTCAGAATGTTTAGAAGGGTCAGAATGGGGCACTTTTGGATCCACTTGCATTCTGCAAGAGTTCTATTGTGTCACACCGTCCATAGCATCTGCACTTTGTGAGATCTGTAACAGGAAGTTGTAAAACCAAAGCAWAACTGAAAGAAATGAGAGGGAGATGTCTTTACAAACAAACTATGGGGTCTGCTGGTAAGTAAGGCCAGATGCTGATAGGTGAAAGGAGCAATGGGMGGAACCATAAATTCCACAGGAATTCCACCARTTGACACAGACTGTTAATCACCCAAGGCAGTGCTAGATCTCTGGAGTTAAGAGAAGAATAGAGACACAAAGAAGAAGGGGGGGGAGTGGTGGTGGGGGGATGATGGTCGGGGAGAATGCACATTAGGTGGGGGTCTGAATTAGGAGATTCAGGAAGTCTGTATCTCTGAAGTATCTCAGCCAGTGGGGAGAGAGGGAAATGTGCCCGGGAAATTAGGATAAAAAGGAGGCTATATCCTCTAACAATTTGAGAGACCCCATAGAAATGTCCCATGGCCTCTCCCTTTATTCGCATACAGGACTCCTCTGTATCCTTTTTTGACATAAACCTCTAGTGTTTGTSTATTAATTTTCCTAACAAAACGTTTTAGTTACACATGAATTATAAATACAACGATYAGGACGTAATTAATATAATCTTAAAACACATACGGAAGTATACTCAACGACTGTTCTGCAAACAGTATCCACGAACTTTGTAACACTGAGATGGCAGTGCCAGACGACACTGTAGTTAAGTATGACTTAATG